AAAAAAAAAAAAACGGTGTTCCCCTTTATGCTCCTGGTAATTATTTCTATTATTTCTCCTAAAAACAGTGCAGACTATATAAAATGTTAGTAAAAAGACAGTTCATTTAAATCATCTAATAAAACATTAGTGTTGTTATTAGACATTGCTTCTGTGAACAGGTGCCTCAATGAATGAAGGCTCTAGTCTACAGGTGTAATGTGACCCTGGCAGTGGGTCAGTTCGGGCAACTAGTGCAGGCGTCCAAACTCATGTCAATATTGCAAGATGGAACTGTGGCTGTTTGAGCTTACAAACATATTTTGGACCCATATGTGTGTGTGTTTCAAATGTATCTCTGTGTGCACATTTGCGCCTGTGATACTGGAGAACAGCTTGGGAGCGAGCTGTCTGTCATCTAGCAGCTAATGCACCAGCGATGCCAAGTTCTGCGAAACAGATGGCTGAAAGGAGCAACAATGAGAGAATAGAGCGGCCAGTGACATCTGAACATAGACTACATGCCATGAAAAAGGCAGATATCTGAGCGCCACTTAGGATTTAACCACTGCTGGACTGAGCTTCCTCTGAAACGTTTGCAATTTATTTTTTTTTTTTTGAGTTTTTTCCTGACATTAATAAACATGGGATATACCCGCTTATGCAGTTTTTGTTGCATGCATCTTTGCCGTGGTTTATTACTCTAATGATTGTCACTATTAACGGTACTCGATAATTGGGTTTTTATATGTTGACTAAAACACAAAATCTTTGTTTTCTGTCACAGTAACTTCAAGTGGACTGAAATGCAGCTTTCTTGCCTTTTAAATGAATACTTAATAATTTTATCAGTAATTTTACAGAGAAACATAAAACAAACCCATAATCATTAATAAACTATTCTCATAATGGCCTTTTTTCTACAGTAGCTACTATCACTGTGGTTCTTTAGTGAAGTAGGATGAACCCTCCAGCTCCTTACAGCAGAAAGCAGAGTGCTTGGGACTGAGGTCACACCTCTGATGTAAGCCATTATCAAGGATAAATATACCAGCTCTCATGGGACCTTGGATTAAAGCAGGTGACTCACACCAACTTTGACTCAGGGGATCAAATATACACCACTACTCTACATCCAGTACATGTTCTTATCACGCCAGATAAATGAATACCACAATAGTACTGAGCAAAGCAGATGTAGATGCAGATGTTGAATCTGTCATTACATTATCTGCAAATAAGTGTTTGGATTGATGCTGTGTGGCTTGTAATCTCATTTTTATGTCTGGTTAAATTGTTTCTAATCTGATGTAAATAGCTGGTGTCATACATTCTCTCACTAAGCAACCTTTTAGGATAATAAGGTACCTATACTGTTTCATACCCTTAACTTCAATGTTATTTTGAGACGATTTTGGGAATAAGAGTTTTTTTTTTTACAATAAAACTATAAATCATGTAGAAAGATCAGCAAAAAAATACATTACTGGCTTATTTTCAGTGCAGCAACCACAAAAATCAGGTCATCTGGTTCTAATCTACATTGCTTACCCTGAACCAGAACCAAACACAGAGAAGCAGCGTTTAGTTGTTATTTTCCACTGATCTGGAAAAAACTCTAGGAAAAATGTGAAAGTCCAAATACCATAATTTTGCTTTAAATCACATAAAAAAGATTTTTGTTAAAAGTGGCCTTTAAAGTTGTAGAGCGTCTGTTCCAACCGTTACATTTCTGAATTCTCCCGAGTGCTGCCTGACTACATAAGTGAATAAAGTGAATGTGATTGGTCGTTTATCAAGGGGGCGGGATGTTATGGCGGAAAGTTTGCAAGCATGTTTTGTTGTGGCCAGTTTGTCGGAAGCATCTTGTTGACCAGTTAGAAACTTAGTGCTAGTAGGTTCCCAATGAGAAATTACATTTGGACCAAGTAGCACTTAGCAACAACACTGTCAAGGAACGCTATGGACAGCGGAAACATGCAAGAGGAGGACAGTTTTGTGTCGGAGGTCGTGGAGGAGTCTCCTCCATCATACATTTTTTATTTAGAGGAGGAAAGCGGGGACGAAGTTGTAGAGGAAGAGGACGCCAGGGCAGCAGAAGCTTGCTTTGGTGTAAAAGGCTTACAGCCGTTCATGTTTGAGCCCTTGGCATCAGAGATTTGTTAGAGAACATCAGTGAAAAAACAGCATCATAGAAAGCAAGGAACACCCCAGATGAGTCAGTTTGCGTCGCAGACAATAAAGGTTTTGCACTCCGCAGTAAATTCTTCTGTTGAAATGTGCCGAAAAAGAATGTAATTGTTTAAATTTGAGGTTCTCAGTCCTGGTCGCCCGAGTATGACTATCCTGCACATTTTAGGTGTCTTCTTGGTGCCACGCACCTGACTTATATTAAGGGATGATTAACAGGCTTCTGCAGCATTTGACGACCTCTAAACATGCAGCACACTGGTGCTTGAGCAATAGGATTGAGAACCACTGATTTAAATAAAACTTGTCTAGTTATAGAGTTGGATAAAAAGGGGAGGTGACTTAATATGTGGAGGGAGTTTTAATATGTGACTTTATGGCTTTAATGTGAAATGAAACAAATAAAGCACAAAAAAAAAACACCATACAAAGCATGGTGGTGGCAGCATCATGCTGTTGGATCCTTGAGCAAAGACCCTTAACCCGACACTGCTCCCCTAGGGGATGGGTTAATGCAGAGAGTGAATTTCGTTGCTCTGTACTTGTGACAGTTTAATGACAATAAAAAGCTGGATATGCATGTTTGTAACTATAAGGTGAATAATGCCACTGCTCTTGCACTAAACTGTAGTGATGCTGCCTCACCATTTTCACCATAGACACCCCTCAAAAAAATCAGAGAATTCTTCTCTAACCTATATGTATAAAAATGATCTATTGTCGGCAGCACATCTGAGAAGCATTAGGCAAAAATTAGAGGGGCTCCTTAACTAATTGTCCAAGAAGTCTGTGCTTCTATTTACAATAATGTATTGGGTTGGCGGAAAAATATGCTATTAATAGCCCTTCTAACCGTTAAGAGAGGCCAAAGGAATTGCCCTTCTACAAAACCAGACACTAACATGGGCAATCGCCTCTGCAAGTAGAGTATCAGTTACAGTAGAAGTGGACAGCCTCCCAGCCTGGCCTTAGTAAACACAGAACCGGACAGTTGAAATGTGGGAAAAAAGCAGGGACGAGCATAAATGATAACCAAATGGTAGCACACCGGCTACACTAGAGGAGATATGTTCTTTTTGTTTTACAGTCTATGTTCTTCTCACCCTGTGCTGGTTTCTGAGGGAAAGAGATGAGCTTGGAGACTCTGCTACATTACGTCTGCGGTTTCTCCCATCTGTGATGCTGGGCATGGAGGATGCACCAAATGGTTCGGAGAAGCTGCGCATCATCTGCCTCATGTGGTCCCTATGAGCAGAAAATGGATCGCTGCTGCTGGTGAAAAAAAAAAAAAGGACATCTTAATGTTCGCACATATTCTAAAACAGAAAAAAACACGTCATTGTATGTTATTTCATGTTGCAGAATGTGGCACTTGCTGTGAAGATAAAATCTTAAAAAACATGTGACGTGTATATGTACAGCATGCAACCCTATGAGTCAACACTTTGTGGAGACAATTAAAGCTGTAAAGTTTAGGTGGATGGCTCTATTGGCTTTGAAATCCTTTATCACGGAAGACCCCAAACCAGGTCCAAGAAATGTGTCTGTGGGCATCAATTTTCTGCACAGCTTCAAAGTTAATATCTCTACATTTCTAACACCCAAATTCTGAGATAAAAAGTTACTATACTTCTATTATATCTTAAATTTCTTAATCTTCCTCTGTTTCTTTGTTTCAGGAATGTACGGAAGAGGATTAGCGCCAGTGAAAAAATAAAAAAAGTTAGCCCGGTTTTTTTTATTTTATTTCTGTATAAGAATTCTGAATTTACTTTCAGAATTCTGACTTTTATCTCAGAATTATGACTTTTATCTCAGAATTCTGACTCTTTTCTCAGAATTATTACTTTATTCTCAAAATTCTGACTTTAATCTCAGAATTATGACTTTATTCTCAGAAGTCTGACTTTATCAGAATTATGACTTTAATCTCAGAATTCTGACTTTTTCCTCAGAATTCTGAATTTAATCTCAGAATTCTGACTGAATTCTGACAGCTAACAAACATGTAAGCATCAAGCCGTAGCCAAGTCTGTTTTAGAGACTAGCTCTCTTGTTTTAATCACCTTCTGCTCTTCCATTAATTAAATAGCATCACAAGAGACCCCTCAGGCATGTAAAAAGTCACCTAATTCCGCCATTTTCCACCAATGTGTTTCTGGCCCTCCCAAACAACTCACATATTTTTCAGTGATGCTGAGTGTTCCCACATCTCTTCCTTTATGGTGCCCATCTATATTAAGATCCAAAATTCTGAGATTAAAGTCAGAACTCTCAGATTAAAGTCAGAATTCTGAGAAAAAAAGTCAGAATTCTCAGAAAAAAGTCAGAATTCTCAGAAAAAAGTCAGAATTCTCGGAAAAAAGTCAGAAATCTGAGGTTAAAGTCAAAATTCTGAATTTTTTCCCCATATTAACTAAATTAATATTTAAAAATAAGTTAACTTTTTTTTTTTTTTTCCAGTGGCGCTTATCCTCTTCCGTAATATGGAGTTGTAAAAACATGCACGTCAGTGAAAAATAAATAAATAAGAAAAGTATGACCAGTTTTATATTTAGACCACAGCAGCCCTTTTCAAACAGACATATTTACTGGTGTTTCAAACCTTTGTTTTTCCTAAAATGTATAGCAACAGTAAAATATAGTTTAGTAATGTTGTAAGAATTTCCAATGCAGGGTTTTTAATAGTGCACTTACCTTGTAAAAAACTCAGATTTCTGAGATTAAAGTCAGAATTCTGAGAGAAAAAGTCAGAATTCTGAGAG